GGTGGCGTAGGCGCAAAACAGTCGCGCTAACAAACGTTATAGACTATTTGCCGTGCCCTGCCCATTTATTCGACGATCGGGCGTTATCGTAATACAATGTCGGTAAAGGATGTCTTTACTCGACAAGCGGTATATAAGGATAACGGGGATTATATGACCGAGAGGTCGACTTACCTTGTGTTTTTCGTATTTATTCCGATCTCCATCGAATGGAGGATGTGCGTCTGAAACAAAATCTCTGACATTCTGAAAACAAAGAGTAAATAAAATCCTTTAATCCATAAGATTGTTTTGATTGTATAAACCGAAAGAGTTTATTTTCAGATAGAAAACTGAAAGAGATAAAAAATAAACTTTCCCATTGAAACATTGACCGCTCTTACATTAATTAGTAAAAACAAGAGTTTATAGGTAAGCAACAACTTGGAGAGAGACTAAAATTAATTACAACAATATGCATGATCTTCACTGTAGATATTTTTGACGAGGTCATAAAGAATAATTACAAAATTGATCGATAAATCAGATATTTTCCTTTTTCAGTCATTTTCATCGTCATTCAACATTATTTTAGTGACCCTTTGAAGAGGGAGCAATAAATCCGCCTCTCGTTATTCACAGGTGAGCTCTGTGTTTGTAAGCGCCGTGCAATTAAAGCACACGTTGCATAATTGCAGCGTGGAATAAGAGAGTAAAAAAAAAGTAAATCACCCGTCGCGCGCGATATTCCTCGACGCGTAATATTACTTTATTAAACAAAATGAGATAATGCCACGGTGTGTGACAAATTGGGAGCAACGCACGCTCGTAACGCTTACCTATACGGTATCTCTTGGCGATACGTGCCCATAAAGCATCTGTTAGGTGGAAGACAGGAAAAGCTTTGCATATTCATGAAACATGTTGAGTGTCGGTGGGACCAACGCTTGTAAACACGAGCGCGACGTAAGAAGTCGTTCACACGAGGTGACGAATGTATAAATTTATTAAGAAAACAGGTTATCACCCGCAGCCATCAGGAAATTTATTTTATTAATGACATCATAGTGTTTATTATTTTCTTCTTGTTTCCTTTAAAAAAAAACCATATTCTCCGTATCATACACTATATTAACTAAATACAAATTATTCTAACATTAAATTGAAAAAAAATTAAATTATTTTAAAGTGACTTGATTCTCTTTTGATGGCTCGATGTGCCTAGGATCTCCTTTCAAATGCGTTTATACAAGAGGATTTTTCTTCTGTCAATAAGGAGACCTCTTTCGATCCTCGTTGCCTTCGTGTTATTTTAGAAAGGCACATCTTGTACGGACTTGCATTTTCATGTCGTCTATTCGTTTCGAGATCGTAACAGCGATGTCGAGCACGACGACGCGAACCTGGGACATCCATTACCCACTGCTTCATTAGATATTAGATAGTAACATCTCGTATCTTTACATCAACTTCTACTATTGTCTATATTGATAATTTAATTTTAAACCAAAATGACATTATTTCTTATTTTCTGAGGATTTTTTATTTTAGACTGACAAAAATTTACAGGGTTGCCACGCAACCTGGAAACCTGGAAATGTCAGGAAATTTTATAAACCTTGAAAAAACCTGGAAAAGTCAGGGAATTTTGATCGGAATCCTGGAAAATTATTCTTTTCTAAAGTTATTGTGTTTGTTTTTGAAATCTAATTTTACTTAAATATTTCGAAATTAATTGAATTTGAAAAGAGTTGCGTTTACAATTTTCATAAATAAATTAACTTCAAAAGATTTGAATTTCTAAATTTTAGAAAATTTCAATTTTTAATGAATTAATTAAATTAAAAAATTTCACAGCAATTCTATTATTTACAAATTTTTTATAAATTTCTTCCCAGTAATTCAATTATTTTCATAAATGATAAAATTTTTACAAGGATTCAATTATTTTCATGAATAATACAATTTTTTATAGGTTTTCAATTACTTTCATAAATAATAAAACTCATCGCAGAATTTTAATTATTTTTAATACAATTTTAATGGAATTTCTCGAAAAATTAATTATTCTTAAAAATTTCATTAAAATTCATGAAAGAAATTCAATTATTTTAAAAAGCCTTCCTATAATTTATTTATTAGAATTTAAGTACTATTGCCAATACATTTTTAAGTAAATTTCTTAAAAGAATTAAATTATTTTCAAAAATTTTAATGAAATTCTTTTTGTCAATTCAATTTTTTTCAAAATAATTTTAATAAAATTCTTCGTAGAAATTAAATTAATTTTAATAATATATCAAAATTTAATTATTTTTAATATCTACTATTTCAATAAAATTTCACAAAAGAATTCAATTATTCAAAAAGAAATATATTATTAAAATTCGTCTCAAGATTATTCAATTATTTTCAAAAGTAATAAAATTCTTCGCAGAAATTTAATTGTGTTCAACAGTTTACAAAAATTCTCGTCAAAATTTCAATAATATTTATAAATTTTTCTCCGATATTTAAATATTTTCAAAAACTTTAATAAAACTCTTGGCAAAATTTTAATTATTTTCAAAAACTCTTAAAAAAAAAAGTTTTAAAAACTCTTCTCTCTTTGGAGAAATTCAATTGTTTTTAATAAAATTTTAATCAAATTTGAAAAAAATAAACTTATTCCTAAAAATTTTATTAAAATTTTTCAAAAGAATTCAATTATTTAAAAAAAATTTTTTAATTCTACGCAACCATTTCATTATTTTCATAAATAATAAAACTCATCTCAGACTTTCAATTATTTTAAAATTTGTTAATAATGATTCTTTATGGGAATTCAATTTTAAGAGACATTCAATTATTTAATAAAATATTTATTTTTCTATTTAAATAATTGAATTCTCGTGGATTTTGCTAGTAAATATTAATTTAAAAATGAATTTCAGTTAAAATTTTAGATTATTATTGAATATTAAAAGCAATATAGCCTAAATTTTCAGAAATAATTGAATTTTAAAAATGTTTCGAATTAAAATCTTTTAGAAAATTTGAACATTTCATACTTTTAATTAAGAATTCTGTAGAATTTATTTTTGAAAAAACTTTAATGGAATTTTTCTTTATTTCTTAAAGTTTTTATTTTTTAACATATATTTAATTGAAGAATGTCAGAATAATCAAAATTACGTTAAAAATTAATATTGAAACTAATTGAATATTTACGAAGAATTTTATCATTTTTGAAAATAATTGAATTGTTGCGGAGAATTTTATCAATTTTGAAAATAATTGAATTCTTGCGAAGAATGTTGTCAATTTTAATAAATAATTTAATTATTTCGAAGAATTTTATTCAAATTTTTTTTGAGAATAATTAAATTCCTGCGAATAATTTTATTTATCTATAAAAATAATTAAATTCTTGACAAGATTTTTAAGGAAGTTTAGAATTAATTTTTCTCAAAAAGTTTAATGGAATTTTTTTTTAATTATTTAAAGTTTTTAATTTCTAATTTATTTAATTAAAAAATTTCAGAATAATCGAAAGATTAGGTAAAATTGAATTCTAAACAAATAGATTTAAAAATTCTCAAAGAAGAATTTTTTTAAAAATTACTTTAACAAATTTTGTTTAAAAAAAAAATTTTTTAGTTTAAAATTCTAGAAATGAAGAATTGAATTGAAATGAAAATAATTTTAAAGAAATTTTAACCTGGAAAACCTGGAAAAGTCAGGGAATTTAAAATGAGGAAAAGTGTGGCAACCCTGATAAGGGATAAGGGTTGTAAGGTCAATAGTTACTTTCTTGATCTTTATCTTATTATTTTATTTTATTCCCAATATAATCTGCTCTTTGTCTCTTTCAGCAAAAATAATTTTAAATTTTCTGAATTTCATTTACCAGACTGAAATTCTATTCGCCTCAAAATATATCATATTTCTTTTATATTTAATAAAAAATACATGGATGAAAAATAAAGTCATTTCGAAAGTTTTAATTACTTTTTTTTTCTCAAGTAATGACAAATAGTCATTATAATTGTAGTAATAAATTCACTTACATATATCTTATTCACATTTTCTATTACAAGGTAAAAAGCAATGTTCAATTAAGCAATGTAAATAAGACAGAAAAGAAGATTGACGATTAACTCGCAGCAAAACAATGTGTGAAAGGTAATATGCTTCACAATAAATTGACGGTTATGTTCAAGCTACGGGAACCATAAATACGAGAAGTGCTATGAACTCAGTGTTCCAGTGCTCAATGACTCTCCATAACCGTTGACATTATACTGATAAGCTCTAATTTCAATTTATGAGTAACTCATTACAGATGACCTGAAGCGATTTCGTGATCCTTGCGTTGCATGCCTTTATTATTTGGGTTTACATACGTTATATATATTGAATTAAAGATGACAGTAATATTCATCATAATTCAGTTAAAGTGGGTAATACAATATTAACTTATTTTTTTATTAAATAAGGCACACAAAAAAATAAAAGTGGTCTGTTTATTAAACCAGACCTAGTATTTTTGCCCACTGAAAACAAATATGATGTCAGAATTGCTCCATCCTCTGATTTTTTTCAAATCGAAAAAACTATTATTAAATGTACAAATTCCAAGTTTAAAGCAACTTCCGGAAAAAAATTGTCTTCTAAAAAGAATTAATTTCCAAAACCACTTCTGGAAAGTTTTCGGAAGTCTTATGAGGAAAGTTTTAAGCACGCAAAAATACATTTGAAGAATGATTTTCAAAATATTCATTATTTTTATCAAGATAATGAGAGAATTATATAAAAATATTAATTAATTTGTACTTTGTTAAAAATAGAAATAAACAATTTATTATTTTTGTACTTTTTCTAAAAATAATTTCTTGAAAGAAAAAAAATTGTATTCAACCTTTTTTCAAAGTATGTTAAAAGTTATAAACGTATAAAAATTATCAACAATGATATGACGCAAATTTGCGGACGTAAAAATGCTCTTCATTGAAATGGCAAAACATAACTTTGAAATATAGTCATATTACTTACATCAGTAAAGTGGAAAGTACTAGTAAAAAATGTCTTGTATTTGACACGTGTCATTTAATGCAAAAACTAGACAGCTGTTTGAATCTCTTCACTAAAATTACTAAAATCAGTAATTAAAAGTTCTGTCAGTGTAACTATTGTGATCATACTGACTCGTAAATTTTGAGAGCACTGTCCATTCAATTGTTATTCAAAACTTTTTTTTGGTGAGTTTTTAATCAATAAATTTAATATATCTCTGAAAATTTCAACATATAAAGTAATTATTGTTTGTTTTTAGTTTTCTAAACATTCAAAATTTAGGAATTTTTTGTTTATACATTAATTTTGAAAAATACATAGTTTTTTGGCAATTTTTTGCAAGTTTGTCAGTCTTTTTTTTGTTGAATACACTCTTAAAAGAAAACTTGGATTATCTTTAAAAACACTGTAAGTAAACTGTAAGTTTTAAAATAGGCCATAAAGATTTAACATCCATTTCTAATTTTTCATGTGACGCTGTACTTACAATTTTATTCCAAATTAAAACGTACCGATGTCTCAAAAAAATTTTAGATTAAACTTTTTTCATCACTATTTTGACTTTTTAAATTTAAACCGAAAATTCGCATTCAGCTACCCTAAAAATATACCATATGATAATTGTCATTTTGTCAAAACAAAAATTTTAATTTCAGAAATGTTACTGATACTATTTTCCATTGTTTTTTCTGAATTCCTGATTAATGGATACTGTGCTGAGAAGAACGATTTTTATTCTAGTATGGTAATAATTTTTAAGTATTCTTCTGTTCACATTATTCTGAATGTAAATAAAAAGAAAGTTTATGATTCAAAAACTGAGTGCAGAGTCAAAACACTAAAAAATAATAAATAACTATTTTTTTTTGATTTTGCAAGGTAAGAGTAACATTCAAAGCAGGGCACTCTCTGGAATCACATACTGTTCAAACAAAAGACGGATATTTATTAACAATTCACCGTATTCCTGGCCCTTCAGGATCAACTCCTATATTTTTGCAGCATGGCATTTTAGGAAGTTCTGATTCTTGGATTCTTACTGGAAGTGATTCTCTTGGTAAAAGAAACATGAAAAATCCTAAAAAATTGTTAACCTTTCTTATAATTTAATAAAATATAAATCTGTACATAAGAATTCGTTATTTCTAGCTATTACTTTAGCAAATTTGAAATACGATGTCTGGTTAGGTAATTCTCGAAGTAGTGTTTATTGCAAGTCTCACTCTGTTTATAAAAACACAGATGAAAAATTTTGGAACTATAGGTAAAAATAAAAAAAATAATAAATGTAATAAAAAATGTTTTTTTTTATGTTAAACTAATAATAATAATAAAATTCTATGCATTTTATTTTAGTTTTCATGAGGTAGGGACTCAAGATTTACCTGCAATGTTAAATTACGTGGCAAATTACACGGGAAAAAAAATAATTTACATTGGTTTTTCAATGGGAACTACTTCTTTCTTCGTGATGGCTTCTGAAAAACCAGAAATGTCGGCAAACATAAGTCTTGCATTTGCACTTGCACCTGTAGCTTTTATGAATCACTTAAAGATACCTAATATAAAATTTGTCTTTAAAGACTCTTGGGTATGAAAAAGAAAACACTGTTGTAATAATGGATTAAAAAAAAATTTAAATAATGACATTAATAAATTTTTAGATATCATCTTTTATATTTGGACATAAAAGCTTCGGTGCGAATAGTGGATGGAATGTATTTCCTTTCAAAAACAAATTATCATCAATGATTTCGCATTGTAGTAACAATCACATTAAGAGTGTAAGTCATTGATTCTAATAAATTTTTCCTACATTCTTCTGTGGAAAATTATTCGAACACTAAGGATTTATTGAAGCAATTATTTCTTTTCATTAGAAGTATCGTTCTCGAGTCATAAGGCAATCGTTTGGCACAGCTTCAGTCAAAACAATCAGGCACTTGGCACAACAACGTCAGACTGGAAAATTTCGTCAATATGATTATGATCCAAGAAATCTTGAAATTTATAATAGTACTTACCCTCCTGAATACAACATATCACGGATACAAATTCCAATGGTTCTGATTGTATCTAAAGGAGATGTGTTTTCGACGCCTTCTGTAATTAATAAACAAATTTCTAAATTTTGTTGAAATTGTTTATGTTTCTTATATGTAAGGTTAGTCATTGAACTTAGAAAATATAACTGTTTTAGGATGTTGAAGACCTGGAGGAACTATTGCCAAACGTTTACAAGAACATATTAGTAGATCATAAGAATTTCTGTCACTACGATTTTATGTACGGAAGACATGCTCAGGAATATGTTTACAATCAAATAGTGGAAATTTTAGAAACATTTAAAAATTAATAGAAAATTACGAAAAAGTAATGTATCTTTTTAAATAACAATAGCAAAGCTTATTTGTAAATTGTTTCAATAAATTTTACATTCAGTATATTAATCTGTTATTTTCAATTGAAAAATTTAACAATGTAAACCAATGCTTAATTGGCTAAAAAAAACTTTAAAAGCAACACTAATACCAAACACCCCCAAATAATGAATTTTAGACAAATCCAAACAATTTTTAATTTCTGTCCGCCATATTCGATCCGTCATTTTGAATTTTAAAAATCTGATGCCAGATTCTTATTTAGCAATCCTAATAACCGCCGAGTAATGAATTTCAGGCAAATCCAAACAATTTTTAACTTATCCGCCATATTAGATCCGCCATTTTGAATTTAAAAAATCCGATGTCAGATTCATAATCAGCGACCACAGAAATCCTCGAAGAACATTGTATCAAATAAATCTGATAAGCTTGCAAAATGTTTCAAGCGAATCTATTTGCTTCTTACATTTTTTGACGCCATATTGGATCCGCCATTTTTAATATTTTTAATTTGATGCCAGATTCGTAATCAGCGACCCCAAAAACCCCTGAGTAACAAGTTTTAAACCATTTTAATGTGCAGAAGCATGAATATCGACTTTTTAACTTTAACCTCAAGGCTACCTCAGGCTCGCTTAAGGCTCAAGACGTGTTTGAAGCTCAAAACTCGTCTAAAATTTAGGACTGAACTTAGAAATAAGGCTCACTTAAGGCTCAAGTCTAGTTTGAAGCTAAGAACTCGTCTAAAACTTAAGACATAAGGCTCAGTTAAGGATCAAGGCTCACTTAAGGCTCAAATTTTGTTTGATGCTAAAAAATTGCCTAAAACTTAGGACTGAACTTAGACATAAGGCTCACTTAAGGCTCAAGACTTGTTTCAAGCTAAAAACTCATCTAAAACTTAGGACTGAACTTAGACATAAGGCTCAATGCTCACTTGAAGCTCAAGACTTGTTTGAAACTCATCTAAGAAACTAAATGATGAGGCTCGCTTAAGGCTCACTTAAGGCTAAACATTTTATGAAGCTAAAATCACGTCTAAAATTAAACATTCGGCTAAGGATTAAGACTCGCTTAAGGCTAAAGAGCTGTTTGAACCTGAAAGCTCTTCCAATATTATAGATTGGTCTAAGATGTAAAACTCGCTCAAGGCTTGTCTGAAGATTTAACTTTGCTGATGACCTTACATTGTTCGAAAACATTTCTTGAGATTTAGGTAAGCTTTAAGGCACTAACGAGTTTTTAGCTTGAATCAAGTCTTGACCCAATAGTGTGCCTTGAGCCTAAAATAAGCATTAAATATCTTAGGCCAAACTTATGTCATAGACGCATTTTTAGCTTCAAACAAGTATTTAGCCTTAAGTAAGGCTTGAACCTTAAGCGAGCCTTATGTCTAAGTTCAGTTTTAATTTTTAGACGACTTGAGCCTTAATCAATTTTTAAGTTTTAGACGAACTTTTAGCTTCAAACAAGTCTTGAGCCTTAATCGATCCTTATGTCTTAAGTTTTAGAAGAGTTTTTAGCTTCAAACTAGACTGGAGCCTTAAGCGAGCCTTATTTCTAAGCACAGTCCTAAGTTTTAGAAGAGATTTGAGCCTAAGCGAGCCTTAGTCTAAGTTTATTACTAAGTTTAAGACCAGGTTTTACCTTCAAACAAGTCTTCAGCTTTAAGACTTAGGTTTTAGACGAGTTTTTATCTTCAAACCAGTCTTCAGCCTTAGGTGAGCCTTGAGCCTTAATCGAGCCTTATGTCTTAAGTTTTACACGAGTTTTTAGCTTTAAACAAGACTTGAGCCTTAAGTGCGCCTTAATTCTTAAGCGAGCCTTATTTCTAAATTCAGTCCTAACGTTAAGACGACTCATGAACTTCAAACAAGTTTAGAGCCTGAAATGAGCCTTGAGCCTTAAGCGAGCCTTATGTCTAAGTTCAGTCCTAAGTTTTAGACAATTTTTTAGCATCAAACAAAACTTGAGCCTTAAGTGAGCCTTGAGCTTTAAGCGAGCTTTATGTCTTAAGTTTTAGACGAGTTCTGAGCTTCAAACTAGACTTGAGCTTTAAGCGAGCCTTATTTCTAAGTACAGTCCTAAGTTTTAGAAGAGCTTTGAGCTTTAAACAAGTTTTGAGCCTTAAGCGAGCCTTATGTCTTAAGTTTTAGACGAGTTTTTAGCTTCAAACTAGACTGGAGCCTTAAGCGAGCCTTATTTCTATTAAGTTTTAGAAGAGATTTGAGCCTAAGCGAGCCTTAGTCTAAGTTCAGTCCTAAGTTTAAGACAATGTTTTACCTTCCAACAATTCTTGAGCCTTATGTCTTAGGTTTTAGACGAGTTTTTAGCTTCAAACAATTCTTGAGCCTTAGGTGAGCCTTGAGTCTTAATCGAGCCTTATGACTTAAGTTTTAGACGAGTCTTTCGCTTTAAATAGGACTTGAGCCTTAAGTGAGCCTTAATTTTTAAGCGAGCCTTATTTTTAAATTCAGTCCTAAGTTTTAGACGACTTATGAGCTTCAAACAAGTTTAGAGCCTGAAATGAGCCTTGATCCTTAATTGAGCCTTATGTCTAAGTTCAGTCCTAAGTTTTAGACAATTTTTTAGCATCAAACAAGATTTGAGCCTTAAGTAAGTTTTGATCGAGCCTTATGTCTAGGTTCAGTCTGTAGTTTTAGACGAGTTTTTAGCTTCAAACAAGTCTTGAGCCTTAAGTGAGCCTTATAGGCTCACTTAAGCCGACATTTTTTTTTTATATTATAGTAAAGCACGAGTGAAGCCACTGCCTCCGAGGTTTATGTTCCATTAAGGTTTCTTCTTGTGCATCGAGAGCAACTGCTAGGAAGACTTTATCTATCCCCGACTCGGGCGTATGTAAGTAACTGGTAGGTATATCGATGCCGTAACCTCAGAGTCGGTCATCACTCATTACCGGTTAATTACCGGAATAAGTTTCCGAAGCCTGACAGCACGAAGGTGGTGCGTGAATTCAGGTACTACATATTCTTAGGTGGCGTTAAGTGTAACTGTACCACGTACCGGTGTTCTGCACACAACTGTCGAGCAGAAGATGCAATGATGCTGGATAGATACTAAAAAAAAGAGAATAGTAACGCCCTTCAATCCTGACAACTCGTAAACCCTGAGCATCAACTTTTATTTTCTGCTTCCAGTTTGATTAACAATGTTTTACTTTCCAAACATACCCATTTCAGTTTAATTATACAACCAGCGAATATAGGAAATTGACAACAAAAAATAATTATATCCCAGTAAGGAAATGAATTTAGACATCAGCAATTGAGAATCATGAATTATTGTTTACAGGCTAAATAATACTTTATAATTATTTTTTTAAATAACGTAAGCAATGTAGAAAAAAAATAAACGCAAGTTTTGAAAAAGTATACAAATGGAGCAATTTATAAATATTTTCTTATATGAGAAAATAGTTGAAGAATTAAAAAAAAAATGAAATTGCTCTTTCTTGACCTTAAGAGAACAGGGCGACACTCGCATCAGTGAAAATCACTCCGATCTTGTATAATTTATGGGGCAATTTCCTACTAATAACTTGATAAAGGAGGCGGGGATTCTTAAGGATGTAACCTCAAAGTCGATTCTTCCAAAGTGGTTCGTATGCTGACTCTACACTGCAGCGACATAAAAAGCAATTTACTTGGTTTAAAAGTACTTAATTAAAATTAGCTTTTAAAATAAAACGATATCCAGCATCATTATTTATTTGCCTTCACTTCATACACGTTTCATCTTCACTGCAAGCAGCTACACCGTCCTTTATAAGATAATCATTTCTTCATTAAACCGAAACTAAGAACTTGTTTTTTTTTCACTAATTTTGCGTTTCGTTAAATTATCTTGCTTTTTTCACCAATAATTATTGTTGACATTGTATTTTAATTTGATATTTAACTAGTACCCTTCTTCTGATTATGGTTTATGACTAAATTTTGGAAATTATTAGTCATCACATTTTACAGTTCTGATAAACTTTAGAAAATATAGAGAGTTGGGAGTAAAAGTTTTCGAGTTAAAAATCCACTCAAAAATAGAGTTAATTTAATAACTCCTTCTTTCTACTAAGAGTGAAGTGTAAACTCTTCGAAGAGTTAGAAAAATAAATGTCTCAACTCTCTTCATTCAACTCCCTTCGCTTTTACTCTCCAAGGTGCGACTTTTATAGAATACCCTGGGGATTTGAAATCATTTTTATAGTGTACTATCACGCATGCATTTAACAAATTATTGAATAATTATTGTTGATTAATAATAGTGCAAATTTCTTATTACTTGGAATTTGAATAACAACTTTCGAGCAATATTTCTTGGATAATGCATCCAACTGTTCAGCTGCAATATCTTTGCGGTAGGTAGGGTACTTTTTACCTGGATACATTACCCAATAATTGGATGCTTTAACCAATTTATTGACTCGCGCTCCAGAGTCAAACGAATTAGATATATTATCCAATCCTTTTCCTAAGGAATTGATGATTATAATGATGATTATAATAGGTTAACAATTACAACAAATTTTTCAACAAAAAATTAGAAAAACATTTTTTACAAATTATTAATTTTTTAAATTATCAATAACTTTGTAATATTTGATAGTAATAGGTACTCAAATAGGTTAGTCGATGCATTGACTAACGCTTTTTCTGATTTTAAATTCCCTGACTTTTCCAGGTTTTCCAGGTTAAAAAACGGAATTTTTCCAGGTTTCTAAAACTACATTTCTTGCCAAGAAAAATTTAATTTTGTTTTTCCCTGACATTCCCTTGAATTTCAGACAAAATTCTTACTTTTCCTTCACTCTTAAAGTCTAAAGAATATTCTGATTCAGTTTAAAAATTATTACTCAGAAAAATGAATATTTTTCTTCTTCTTTTTTAAATAAATATAATATTTAATGATTATTATTTTTCCATAAGAATTAAGATTTTCAAAAATTTCGAATTCAAAGCTACTTTAAAATTAGACAATTTAAAAAAAATTGTTATAAAACATGAAGAAATCGATCACTCCGAGTCTTTGAATCGGAGCAATAAATATC